TAATATTTATATTATATTTTATAGCTTTTTTTTTTTTTAAGAAAGAAGAAATAAATTTTCTTTTCTTTTCTTTTTGTAAAGAAAATAAAAAAATAAAATGAAAAGTTACAAAAAATGAAACCTAGAGTTGACTATCAATAATTAATGAATTAACTGTATAATTGAAAGATGATACAATGGATTAGAATAAGGGACAACACGATGAGCTAATGGAACAGCATTTTTATAAGATAAATTTATATTTGAATTTGAAAATACTTTTCCATCAGAAGTAATCCAAAATGCACCAGGAATAGTGATAACTAAATCTGAATTAGAAATAGGATGAATGATTAATGACTTTTTTAGATTAACAGGATGATATAAAGTAGGTTTTGTTGAGAAGTTTTGAATAACAAAAACGAAATGATTTTGGTCTGAGTCTATTTCAACACGTGTAGAGTTATGTTCACAAGGAACAGTCTTTGAATAATAACTTCCAAATAATTCTCCAGAAAATAATCGTACGATAATAAAAAAGTTATTTTTCCCAGAAATAACTGAATAAATATCTCTTGAAGACAGTTGAAGAAAATTTGAGTCATATAATATCGTATATCCATTAGTTACTTGTTCTATTCCATTTTTAATAGATGAAAACCATTTTTTAATCATTAAACAATATTCTGAAGAAGGTGTTAATTGTGGAGAATAAGACATTACGTCAAAAGAATTTAATGGAGAGTCTAAATGAATTGAAGGAGTTCTAAAAGGAGAAGGAGAGTTTTGTTGATTTGTGTTGTTAGAAATTTTTTTAATTCTTGGACTTGAAGAAAGTAAATTTTTTGAATCATCTGATTTAACAAAATCTGCAGAGAAAATATCACAACTATTTGAAAGTGAAGTATGAGGAGAAGTAAGAACATTTGATGGGTGAAGATCATCTTTTAGAGAGAATCTATTTTTTTTAGAAATCTTAAATTTATGAACAGGTTTTTTTTCTAATTTGTATCTGTCAGAAAGACTTCCTCTCTTTGTTGTTTTTGCTTCTTCATTCCCCATAAAGATAAAATGATTTTAGAAGATTCAAATTACATAATATTTTTCTTTTAATTTTTTTTTTCTTTCATTTAAAGATAAAAAATCATAAAATTTTATTAAAATTAAAAAAAAAAAATATTCATTTAATATGGTTTTTTGTGAGTGAAAAAGTACACAACAACTATTACTACTAAACCTGGAATAAAGAAACAGAGCCAAGGATTAAACCCAATTTTTATTTGTGATCTTTTAATTTTTAGTTGATCATTTGATTTTATATTAGTTTTTATATTTTCAGTTCTACAATTTTTACATTCACAAATACCACCAACACTAATTTCATTTTCAGGATTACATCCAAATTTTTTTGTTTTTAAATTATTAAATTTACAATTAATGATATTTTCAGTAAATCCTTGATATGGTTTTAAACAATGAGAGTCTTCAAATGCTTTAATGTTATAAATTTTAGTTCCTTTACCTTTTCTTTTAGATGAAATATAAATAACATTTTTTTTAGTTTTACATGGTTTTTTAATTGATATTGGAGTACATTTATTTTCAGAAACATATCCACATGCTATTTTATATGAAGTATTAAATACACAATTTGTGTCTAATATTTCATTGTTTTCACATGAAACTGGAATACAAACTTCTATCACTTTTGGTTTGACTATATCCCCATCATTAACTGATATAGCTCTTTTGGTGTTTTTCTTGGACTGATATTCTATTGGACTTCTTTGTAAATAAACACCTGCTTTACGTGCTGTTTTAAATCTCATTCTTTTAATTGCAATTGAGTCATTTACGAGAAGTAATAATAGAAGGATGGAAATAAATTTCATTCCTTGTAAATTATCTTTTTTCAGTTCTTTTCTATTATCTATATTTAAATTTTTAAGATGATTTGGAATAACACAATTTAAAAAAAAATAAATATTCTTTTTTTTTTAAAAAAAATGTTTATTTGATGAAATAAAAAGAGATATTTCTTTTACAAAATCAAAAAATGACAAATCATTAGTATATTTTCTATTTTAAGATTTTGTTGTGATAAAAAAAACTAAAAATAAATTTTTATAATAATAAAGCAATAAAAATTTTGATTTTTTTTTGGATTTTTATGAAAAAAAAATCAGAGTTTTAGATTTGATAAAAAAAAACAACATAAAATCAAAAATCAAGATCTTTTCATAACAAATAATGGAGTTTGTAACACATTGTGAAAATTCTGAAAGTTCTACTACTTCATCTATCATCCCTGAAATGGAGACTTCTTCTCAAATTGTTGAACTTGCTCTTTCTGTAGAACGAGCTGATACTGCGGCATTGCTTGGAGCTGATGAAAGTAGTATTGATACATTAGAAAAAAAAAGATTAGAAGAGATAAGACAACAACAGATTAGTCAAGCTAAACTTATGGCTGAAAGAAGACAAAAGAAAGCTGCTATGGGTATGGAACAACGTCAAAATTGGGAACAAGAAATTGAGAGATATCGTATAGAAAATGAAGAGGTTGAAGAAAGACAAAGAAGACTTGATATAGAAGAAACAATGGAAGAATTTTATCCTAAATTATGTGAATGGGTTGGATTTAGTAATTATGAAGTGTTATACAATAGTTTAGAAGATGGAACAAATGCATCAGATTTTAATAAAAAAGTATGTGGAGAAAAGAATGTTATGTTTATTATAATCACAAAAACAGGATATGCATTTGGATGTTTTTGTCATAAAGTTTGTTAATTTTTGATTCGTTTTGATTTTATTTATATGAAAGGGGTAATCAAAATTGATAAAATCATATTATATCTTACAAATTGATTCTTTTTCGTTTCTATTTTATTCACATTATCCCTTATTCTTTATTAATTAACAAAATGTATATTTATTTATAGAAAATTCCTTATCCAAAAAAATCTTATATTTATTCAATGTACGATAAAAAATATTTCACTTTTTCTTTAAGAAATCCTTCTTGTTCAGAACCAATATACTTTAAACAAAAACATCATGGAAAATCTATTTGTATTTGGCCAAATGATGAACAAAATTTTATTTTTACAACAAAACGATTTATTAAAATTAAAAATCCTAATGGTCCTCATGGTACACGATCATTCTTTCATGGTAAATTCTCATTAAAATATAAAAGTAAAGACCATCAAAAAAGAGAACATACTTTCTTTACACAAACAACTGCATTTGATGTACATCGTTTAGTTGTTTTACATTGGTTTTAACATAGTATATGTACTTATTGTATTATCATACAACTATATTAAATATATTTGTCTTCTTTTTTTAGTTTATTTCCAAAAAGTATTTCTTACACTAACTAACAAAAACTACTAATGAAATTTAATTACATTTAATAAAAGAAGGATAAAAACTTCCTTTTTTTTTAATATGAATCTAATATGAACATTCTTTTTAATGCAAAATCAATATCATCACCAAGAAGTAGTGAATCTAATGCATTCTTAAAATTTACTTTAAAATTTGGATTTACTTCAGACACAACTTCATTTAATGGAAACATAATTGAAAATGCACCATCTACATTAATAATACACTGTTTATCAGCTTTAAATGATATAGAAAAATGACATAAATCGCCAAATGATCTTAATTTACCAAATTTAGTTGGTTTAGGCAATTTTGGACTTCTTAAAGAAAATACAAATGTATCAAAGTCTTCAGCAAATCCATATTCATTAATATAAATTGGAGCTTCAAGATAACAACCAAATAATGCATTTTTAGTTGTTTCAAATAATAAAACAAGATTTTTTCTGCCAATAACTGTAAATTGAATATATTCCTGTAAAAAAGGTTGTTGGTCAGTATCATATAATATTCTAAATTCATGTTGTCCTGTCCATTCTTTAAGATAAAATAATTCATTTAATTGTAATGTATTTTCAAATGAATTTATTAAATGACATTCTTTTAAATTATTATCGATATTTTCTTTTTTAATATCTTTTCCATATATTGTATTTGATATTTGTATTAAAATGTTATATGCACTTTTTGCAAATGACTCAATTATTTCATCTCCACTCATTTGGTCAATAGCTTTTTTCATTTCTTTTAATGTGTCTTTAATAACTTCCATCATTCTATCTTTTTGAAGTTCCTTTCTTATGAAAGAAAGAGAATTTCTTAAATAAATTATTTCTTTAATTCCTATTCAAAAAAAGAACCTAAAATTATAACAAGGATCGCTTCTTTTAATTAACACCTCTTAAGCTTTAGCTTGTTTCTTTGAACCTTTAGCTGGTTTCTTTTCAGCTTCAGCTGGGGCAGCAGCAGCGTGTTTAGCTGATCT